TGATAATTAGGACATTCCGATGTGCTGGTAGCATAATTGCTATCGACACGGACAACGGAATGTATGGTTGTTAGTAAAAAGGGACAACTGCCCAACATGAAAATTACAAATTGGAGATGTCAAAATCAAAAACAATTTAAATATCTGGTAAGACTTTTTTAACAAGGGGCGGAAAGTGCGACTTTGAAATCAGAAGGCGTATTGCCTTTCCAAAGGTAAGCAAAATATTAAGAAAAATTTCGTTAGAAATAAACAAAAGAATCCGGAACTGTTGTGTAATATAAGTCCTCCTATATGGCAATGAAACTATGCTTGGAGATTAGGAGTAAGTTAAATGGTGTAGTTCGTCGTGTTCACATTCACACTAATACACTTGAGATAAGCATGAACCGATATCTTCACACACAGCTAACAATTAATGCATAATATCGTAGGGATGTTTTATTTGTAGCCGTGTTCGTAGTTAATATTATTAAGTGCTGGCTTTTTCTTTTATATTATTAAGGCGTCCATTATTTTTTATTTTTTTTTTTTACATGTGGATGAGGTTATTATGTTTGTATTTTCTACTGGTATGTTTCAGATGGAGTCTGGTAAGTGTGTAGGTGTTTAAATGGGTTCTAATAGAGCTGTGGCCAGATAGGTGTAACGTAAGGCGTCTGTATAGGCATATATATATATATTAGAGTATAATTTTGAGAAGTAAAAATTTCACTGAAATATGCTGAAATAAAAAATTCAAAATGGTCTTAATTTATTAAAAAAGATATCTGTTTAAAACATGAAGGAGGGTATAGGTAAAATAATAGGGTAAACTTGGCTCTCTTTCCTTCGGTGGTAGTCTGTCTGAAAGAAGAACTACTCTGAATTCCAAACCCTGGAGAATTTATTCTACTATATGTCCTACTAAACCATAGTATTTCACATAAAATAAAGAAAAGGAATGTGTGGAGAGCCATGATTGGCTCCGTCCTGAAGGGACATGTCATTCAAAAAACAGTATCTCGCAAAAGATTAAACACATGTATGCATTTTGAGAGATTTTTTTTTTTCGGAATATAAAGTAATGTAGTGTAGAAGAGTATAGATACCCAAAACATGGCGGTAAAACCCTCGCCATCATCTGGAATCAACTACTAACTATTCAAATTTCAAAGAATACAAAATTTCAAATAACACAAAATTACTGATTCACTGTGTGAAGTACTTTTCGGAGAAAAGATAATTTTAATTAAATTCAGTTTCAGACACTCCCATATCACCTGACTATTTCAATGCAAATTACCAATAATTCGACAGTATCTGAATTTGCCAAAGATTAGCCATCAAAGAGAAACCATTTACTTTTTTTTAAGTGGGCTTATGCGAAGTATTACGTTATGGAAACAAATAAGGCAGCACTTTCAAAGATGTAGGCTATTATGGTTACATCCTGGAAGAGCGTGGAATGAGAAAATTTATGCGTTAAGAATTCTCGAGTTCTTAACTAGGAAATCCTTCAGAAAAACGGATCATCCAGCCTATCAACTAGACATAGCGCCCTGTGATTTGGGATATTTTACAGATTGAAAATTGCCTTGAAAAGACAAAAATTTGGTGACGTCCCGCAATGCTTGACTCTATTCTGTGAAGTTATTATGCAATACGTGTTTCAGGAATGCTTCCTGTCACCATTGCCTCACAAAGTAAACAGTTTCATTAATGGAATACTTTGAAGGTGACTACAGGTAATAGTGACCAGGTAAGCAAAATTTTCTTTTACACGCCCATTGATGGAATTAAATTGCCACGCGTCGTATTTTATATAACTCAATTAGAAGCAACATACACTCACAAAACACACACATACACACACAAATGTATCATATATATATATATATATATATATATATATATATATATATATATATATATATATACATACATATGTATATATATATATATATATATTTTCGATGCAATGAGAACGAAAGTAATATATAAATTCTAATGTTCACAGCATTAATTCAAAGAGGCTCGATAGTGATAGTAGAGCGATAATTATTTATTACAATTTTCTCATATAGACAAAAACAGTTTATTCACTACAAAGATGCAACTTCGTTTCGGTGCATTTCAATTGCACCTCGACTGGTGAGAAACCCCCAAAAACTGTTCTTTCTATATAAAATTATAACATATATATATATATATATATATATATATATATATATATATATATATATCAAGTATGTGGTGCCGTTCAATTTTACATTACATGAATCATTCATACAAAAAAACTTCTATATCTGTTTTTCGTATGAATGATTCATGTAATATATATATATATATATATATATATATATATATATATATATATGAAAAGTGTATATAAATATAAATAAATATATATATGTATAATTATTTATATATTATATATGCAATCTACATAAACCTAAATTTTTTAAAACATCAATCAGTTTGTCTGACGATCGCTAAAGCGTGAAACCCAGGGTCACAAACTCACATCTATCCAACCAAATATATATATATATAATGAATTGAGAAAATAGTAAAACTCAGATTTTCAATGTGTTTTGTTCCTTCAAAAACTTCATCAATCAAATAGATAATGTAAGAAGAAGCTTGACTTTTGATGAAGTTCTTGCGGGAACGAAATATTGGGATGTGTATCAAGTGTTTTTTTAAATAATATTTATTATGAAAATTAACAACAATTCAACAATAACATTTTAAAATGAGTATGATTAATCTGAAAATAAAATAATATTTTTATTTAAAAAAAAAGTAGACAAAACAGCATTTTTATTAACTAATAACCTGCCTGCAAAAACGCCTGATAATTATGCACCAACCCTATACATTGCAAATATGAGGTTTCTTGTTTTCTTTTCAAATTATTAATATCGCCTTTCATATGCATTCATTAATATCTCAATTCTGTGTATGTGTATGTGTAAGAGAGAGTGTGTGTGTGTGTGAGTGTGTATGTGTAAATTTTAACATACTCACGCACATATTTATAGTCAACACATCCGAAAATTGGAAAACTATAATAAAATATTAAATAGTCAGTTCTCTTTAATCAAACTTGTTCATATATATATATATATATATATATATATATATATATATATATATATATATATATATATATATATATATATCAAGTATATAATTGGTATATACGGAATGAATTCCAATCAACATCATCCCTTGATAAGACACCGAGGGTGTTGAAACAAAATGGCTATTTTTGTAGTGATTTTATAACATACTTATGTTATAATTTTTTTATAAATAATAATTATATATATATATACATATATATATATATATATATATATATATAGTAATGGTAATAAATCTGTTGGTATATAATCCAATTGGATCTTAGTAATATAAAGTATTAGGACTGATTCACAAAAAGAGCTCAATGTATTTATTATTACAGAGCAAAAATTAATACACAATAAAATCCAAAATCACTTCATATGGGGAATAAGTTATTTTGACCGACGAAAATATTCGTTAGTCTTATTCAACCCCGGTATAGACTGAGTTCGTGTCGGAAATAGAAATTTAACTGTAAAAACTAATCCATCTCTCTGGAAAAAAGGGTAATTATAAAAACAGTGGCTCCTACTGCTATTAACCCATTGCTCTTCAACTAGGAATTGAGCTCTCCTGGCTACTGGCGTATTTCGTATAGAAATCGCCTAGGGGTAGGATCTCTGACTCACGTCAAATCGGTCGGGTTTCGGACGTCTATCCACACCGAAGAGCTGTGATACAGCGAAACAGTCTGTCTGTGGATGACTATATACGCTCACGGGAAATCCGATTTAGCTCTCTGGAGAAAAGGGTTATTACGAAAACAGTTGCTCCTACTGCTATTAACGTATTGCTCTTCAACTGTGAATTGAACTCTCCTGGCTACTGGCGTATTTCGTATAGAAAACGTTAAAAAATTTCCCTGTATCTCGTGAAGATAGCCTAGGCGTAGGTGCTCTGACAGATGCCGAATAGGTCGGATTTCGATCCCGGCTTGAAGCAGTCGGACGTCTCGCCCCAGCGAAGAGTTATGATGCAGGGAAACAGTCAATCACTGGATGACTATATATATATATATATATATATATATATATATATATATATATATATATATATATATATATATATATGCTTGGTCGTTTCAAGATTTAGAATGAGTTTAATTCTACTCATGGGCTAATGTTTAATACATACTTTTCGATATAAGCAACTTGCCCGCATTTATATTTTAAATGCAAAGAAATACAGTTCTTTTAATTCGTCATGTAACTAATTTAGAACTTCAGTTTTAAAAGTTCTACACGAATTGTTCAAGAAAAATGGCATGGATTTCTCTCTCTGAATTTATGTAAATCTTCCCTCAGTTAGTTGTACTCTACACTTTCATTAGTTTAGTGAATATATGAGTTAAAATAAGGTCCTGTTGTAGATTAGGCTGTGACTATGATTTCAAACCGCTTATAATCTTGAAAAAAAAAAAAATAAAACAAACAAAAAGAAAGGCGGAGACCACTTCTGAACCTGAGTTGTGACATTGGGAATCTGTTTATCGTTCAAAAAAAAACGTTTAACAGTATCCACATCATAAAACCTTATGATCTTTTGGAACAACGTTTCGATAAAAAAATAATTGGAGTCATTCTTTGTTGTTTATTGTTATTCGCTTATGAAAAAATAGGGACAAAAGACTCAAATTAAAACCAGCCTAGATAACATTACAGATTGGGATAAATATAATCCGTTAATTATTTAAGTAGGTCTCCGCCCCTTACTCTCTTTCTCTTTCTATCACACAGTCATTCTCTTTATCTCTCTCGCTTTCTCTTACTTTCATTCATAACCTTTCTTTCCCTTTATTTAATTTCACTTCTCACATTTTCCTCAATCTCTCTCTTATGGTATTTCTTTTCTCGATCTCGCCTCCACTTTTACTGTGGCTCCCCTCAATGTCACTTTCTCTTTTACTGTCTCTTCCCCCATCTCGCTTTCTATTTTACTATCGCTCCCCTCAATGTCACTTTCTCTTTTACTGTCGTTCTTTTAGTCTTGCTCCCCTCTATCGTGCTTTCTCTTTTTCTCCTGCTCTATTCAATCACGCTTTCTCTTCTACTCATTGTCACTTTCTCTTTACTCTCGCCCCCACCCCATCTCGCTTTCCCTTTTACTATCGCTCCCCTTCAATGTCGCTTTTTCTTTTGATGCCGCTCCCCTCAATGCCGCTTTCTCTTTTAATCCCGCTTCTCTCAATCTCCTTTTCATTAGTATCCCTCCCCGTACTATTTATTTTAGTCTTTCTACCTCAATCTTTCTTTCTCATTAACCCTGTCTCTCTCTTTTCAACCATTATCATCTTCAAGCTTCATTCCAATGTTTCTTTGTCTCTCCCTCTCGTCGCTCATCAGATTTTCCAGTTGTCTCTCCTTCAGTCTACCTTCTTATATTACACACTCACTCTCTCTATTTTTATCTCTATTTTTCTCTCTGTCCCTAACACTTTTACTTACTCTTTTCCTTAGTCTCTGCCTTTCAATAAGTCACTTTCTCAACGACTTCTCTGCTTTCATTCATTTTGAATAGATTTCCCTCAATTAAATGTCTTTACCATTTGAACTACAAACCCTCCACTCGTCACTGGACAAAAGGAAGTACAAAAGCTGAAGAAAATAAAGCATGAACTTTTGACATTACTTTCTTATCGGGGATTTTACTAGTATTAAGCTAGTTGTTTTGAAGAAAGGGCCTTCCAGTACGCATTATAGTAATCCTTGTTTGCAAATATACGGTTATCATCCGACGAACATTTTAACGAATGTCCAAACTTATGTGTTCAGTCATAAGCCAAAAATCTACAATGATACGTTGATATTTACGAATATTATGTGTTACGGATTTTATAAGCATATGAATGTCTGGAAAGTAAATAGAAAAAGAAGCAATTGAGTGATTGATTCAAAATTTGAACATTAAATATATTACCCTTTAGCCAATATGTTACTCCCTGGAAGCATCTTCTAAGGTGAAAAATTCTTCTTCTTCTTCTTCTTCTCCTCCTTCTTCTTCTTCTTCTTCTTCTTCTTCTTCTTCTTCTTCTTCTTTGTGCCGTGTCTTTTCAGGATGTGGGCGATCACACTTCTACACAACTTCCTGTCCATTGTAGCTCATCGAAGTACTTGACATTTCGCTTTCTCTCCTAATCCCTGTTCCGTCAACCATTTACACAAGCTCGTTAGATAGATTCCTTCTGTTCATCTTGCCTTGAACATGTTTTGTGAGTGTTATATTTTCCAAATATGTACTCAAGGACACATGGCACAGTGGATAAAGACGTTGGTTAGATCCAATGATAGGACCGAAAGAGTGTGAGTTCAATACCCGGTTAAGGCAGTGGAGAACATTCAGAGGGAAATTAACAGGAGATAACTGACATCCATCAAACATGACACGTGGAACTAGAACAGTCTACCCCAGTGATCGAAATAAAGGGTTCAGTTCGACATTCCAACCACCTGAAGAAGACCGGAGCGTACAACGGCCGAAACGTTGTGATAAATATGGCAACAAAGATGAGGACAATAGTCCGAATAATGTAAATAGCGTACGTAATATCTCATCTTAGAAATATAGACAGAGTAGCAATACCCTTGCGACTTTTCGTCTTTGAGAAATGGTTTGTATGGCTGAATATAAATCATCACCAACAAACTTTTGAAGGTTGAAAAATGAAAGACGAATTCATATCTTTTATATTATATTTTTGAGATACAGCATTTATACAGAAATTAGAATAACTAAATAGAAATTAGAATGTTCACACAAGTTCGCGACGAAAACAAACTCATATTTAGAGAAACAAAATTATCAATTAGCTTAACGGCCATTTCTCCGTTGTGGCGTAAATACAAATGGACCGTAATACTATTGGACGGTAGTGAAGATTATATCGTTTTTGAGGACGAAAGATAAGTTGACTCTGTAAACGACGATGGTATCGAAGATGACAAAGTCACCTACTACGCTGACAACATACCTAAAACTGTAATGACCTTTGACACGGCAAGAGGAGAGCAAATCAAAATGAGGCTTACGGCCATAACATCTTGAATCACCGGTTCTCGTACGACCACCGAATTCAAGTAACATCGAGCCTGGTCACTTCCTAGATGGGTGAACCCTTGAAAATACCAAGTGCTGTAAGCTTTGATGTGCGGGTGGTGTAAGAGATAATGGCCCGGAATTGTTAATTGGAGAGCCAAGTTCCAATTCAAATTGGAGTCGTTATATTCACTTACGCGCAAATACGGTTGGGAAACCTATGAATCCATCTTTTCTCTCCCAGCTATAGGTTAATTTGTAAAACTTGTATCAATAAATCATTATTATTGCCAAAAACATTCTTACAATAAAGAAATATAAGTTGATAAGCCTTAAAAATGAATTAATCAATCAGAATGGGCTTAATATCAATGGGAATATTTTTTTAACAAATGCAGCGTTTGATTAGGGATTTAAACTCTTTATAAAAATACAAGATCTTCTACAAAACGTAGTGAAAGAAAAGGATTAAACATCAATTGCAGGAAGACAAAATGCATGGTTGTTAGCAAAAGGATGAGCCCAAAATACAAATTACAAATCGGAAATACCTAAATCAAACTAGTATAATTTAAATATCTGGGAAGTGTTTTAACAGAGGACGGAAAGTGTGACACCGAAATCCGAAGGCGCGTTGGGATCGCCAAAAATGCATTCCAAATGTTAAGAAGAGTTAAGAGTTACGAAGAATATTAAGAGACAATAAATTCGCTTGATTGGTTTGATTTGTTTTGTTTTATGGCATATCAACATCAAGGGGTTATTTAATACCGTCAAGATATTTATTGCTGATAATATTTTTTTTTGTTTTTTTACAAAAATGTATTGCTGATAATATTTTTTTTTCAAAAATGTATTGCTGTTAATAATTTTTTACAACATATTTCTGGTATTAGAACCTATTTTACACTTTCATAGTGTTTTGACACCAGTTTGGAGGTTAACTATTTGCCCATAGCTGGGATCTTAAAAGGTGGTACCACCACGGGTCAGGGAGACCTGGGAATACCAGCAATTAAAAGGTGGTTCCATACTCCTCAAAACCTCTTTATCCAAGGCCTTGCTGTTGGACGTAGTTTATCATTATAGTCATGACGGAACTTCGCTAGAAACAAAGGAAAGAGTACTGAATTATTACGTGATGTCTGTCCTCCTATACGGAAGTGAATTTTGGACAATCTCCTCAAAGATGAACAAGAACATTACAAGTCAATTTTGGTAACCGCTATCACCCTGATGGTGTCACGGCGTATCAATAAGAAGTTTTTACACATTAGTCAGTTTGAACCCTAGATATAACTTACTTCTCGCCATAATGTTCTCAATACGGCGATGTGTGTGTCCGGAAAAAATTTAGAATTTATCTCTCCTGTATAATACGCACTTCTACCTTTTAGGGATAAAAATCTGGAAGGAAAATTGAAAAATGTAGACACATAATTATAGTATTTATAACATTACACAACAAAGGCAGGCCCTAGTTTTTATTTATAAATGTCTGTTTTCTTATATTTGGTAGAATCTAGTGTTGACAAATGTAGGTAAACGTACATGATCGACAGAAAACCGGTGTATTACATCAATAACTAAAAAAAGAAAAGAAAGAATATACTGTTAATATTGACTCGGCAAATCGACGAAAAATGGGTTTTAATCTGTTCCATGATATCGTGTACTCAGCAATTTCTTTTCAGCCATATCGGATTTCAAAATAAAGCGTATTCTTTAAAGCCGAGCTTCAAATTGATAAAAGAATAATTGTAAATGTTTAGTGTCTGCCATAGAAAATGAAATAACGAATAATTAGTGTCAGTTTTCTAAAGCCCATAAGATAAGAACAAACGACAGATTTAGGGCCAAAAGTACAAAGGTACTTTGCTACTTTTAATCTATCAATGATTTAAAGAGATTACAGGCGGAAAAAAAACATCCTTGAAAATTTCATAAGCACTTCTTGTGTAAATACATATCCATATACATTTTCTTTATCTCTTTCTCTCTCTCTCTCTCTATCTCTCTCTCTCTCGCTGTCTCTCTCTCACGCTGTAGAGCTTTGTTGATCTCTCTTGTGCTGTGTATGTGAGTGTTTTCATCGATTTGTCGATATGTTTTTTAAAAATATAAGTCAATTTATTTCTCTCTACCTCTGCCCCCCTCTCTCTCTCTAAATACACATACACATGTGCGTGTATATATATATATATATATATATATATATATATATATATATATATATATCCCCACCATTTTTTACTACGTTAATAAAACATCAAAAACTGAAAAGAATAAATAATGCAAAATGAAAATGAAAAATAAATAAATTAACCCAAACAAATAAATAAATAACCAAGCTAGCAACTCCTACGAAAATAACCACCAGAATAGATTACCCACAATGCACCACTCAGCCATATATATAAATAGTCGAGGTAAAATCCAATATTCGCAGCCTGACGATTGCGCCTAGCATGAAACAGCCTGTCGCCTCTGAGTGTTGACTTGAATGTTCATTTTATATTTTATATATATATATATATATATATATATATATATATATATATATATAATTATTTATTTAAAAATATGATTCCAACACGCTACATAAGAGTTCTCATGTTTCAAAACAAGAACCGAAAACTTCAATATAATTATTTGAATTAAATTGAATTAAAGTATTAAGCTCTGTTCCATCTTCAAGCGAAATTTTTTTTTTGGGAATAACTTATTTCTGAAATTTACGCGTTTTAAATCAAAATTTCTATGGTAACGGCTAGAGCAATTGTTTAAAGAAAGGGGCGTAAGGTCATCTTCCGCTATAAATTTAGACACCCCAACCTTACCCTGACTTGACATCTGTGAATGTAACTGAGATATTGATACAAATTATTAACACCTTACCTTATTTAAAAATGTTATTGCTGAATTGTTGTTTCTTTTTTCATAATAAATATTGTTTAAAAACGCCTGATAATTATGCACCGTAAACATCGATGACCCAGAGTCGCCACTGATATATATATATATATATATATATATATATAATATATATATATATATATATATATATATATATATATATATATATATATATATATATATATGAAAAAGAATATACCAATGATATATATATATATATCTTTGTGTTTGTGTCTGTGTGTGTGTTGTGGCAAAACATTATATAAATTATATAAAGAACAGTTTTAGAAAAGACTTTGACAAATTGGGAATTTTTTTCCTGTGACGCTTTCTTCCGCTTTGTCATAGTTTTTACTAAATATTTTTTGTGGTGAAATAGCCGTAAACGTTTCGAAACCTCAACATATTGGTGGGTTGGTGTGCGCGCATGCGCGTGATTGCGTATCTCTTCATGATTGGTGCACATGCGCATACCTACGTGTTTGTTATAAATGTGCGTGCGGGAATACACATACCTGCACGCATTCGCATGCAAACGTTTACGTATGTGTATATGTGATTCCATATGTACTCCATATTGCATGTGAAAATTGAGGCAATTAGCCAAAGGCCATGATTATAAGTCAAGCATGAAATAACTTTTTTTTCTAAGAGAAGCCTATTGCTTTGAAATGTGATGACCCGTAAGCCACTGCTAATATATGATGCACACTTTGATATGATGTGCTTCGTTGAAATTCAGGCAGACAGTTTCCTTGGAATCACCTCTGAATGAACCCTTTTTTTTTTTAGTCGAAAATTATTAGAGAGCATCATAGCATTTATAGATTGGTGATAGGAATCGAAGAGTGTATCTGCATGTAAAATAAATATAGCTAATGTCCTGCTTTACATTGCGCTGGTGTCGTCAAAGTTCTGAAAACTTATTTCGTCAATTCTTTTTTCATATAATTGTCAGCAGCTTGCATCAGGAGATGGTGTTCAGTCGACAGAATATAAATACGCCATATTGTTTGATCCAACTTAGTATAAAGTATGATCGAGTGTGTGGGGAGCTAATAAAAACTTCTCAGCCTGATGAAAGAGCTCTCTCTTCCAAATATTATTCTATGCGTAATTATTATCTTGAATTTTGAGTGTAGGTTGGGCCGAAGCATTTAGGAACTTACTCATGTCTGTCCACCTACCGCACAGATCTATCTATCTATCTATCTATCTATCTATCTATCTCTTGTTGTTCATATCTATCTATCTATCTATCTATCTATCTATCTATCTCTCTTTATATATTTATCTATGTATTCTCAGTCTCTTCATACATATCCGCTTATATATCCCAAATTGTTTGCATCTATCTATCTGTCTATTCGTGTCGGCCTGTATATCTATTATACTTCTGTCTTTTGAAACGCATTTAGAAGTTAGAATAATAGCAGTAATTTGATTTAAAATGGGAAAACATTTTTAAATATTTTATGCTGGACGATGTCGTTAGTTGCTTTATACGAAATCTTGCTTATTTATTTATTTTTTTATCAACGATGTATAAAATCAATATTTGTACCCAATCAGTTTTTATTTGTATGAAGAAAATGCAAAATACATTCGATAAATCATTTCGTACACTGTCTTTTGACGATGGCCTTTTTGAATTGGTACTGAAATCGGAGTTAGTAACTGCATTTGTTAGAACTGTAGTTTACGTTCGACTTTAATTCTCCATTGGGCTGGAATCATCAAATTCAGGGACTTATTTTTCCAGTTCTCTATTCATTTAAGACATTTGCCAGCACCTTTCATCAGACGAATCTAAGTATGTCCGACAATTTGGCTTAACGCCAGTATAAAATTTGATTCTAAACGGTACTAAGTACTAATTACTAGGTACTAATTGCTAGGTACACGGCATGACCAAGTAGTTTTGCTTCTTGTTTTTTGGTTTTGTGATGTGGGTTGGGCTGAAACATTTTAGTATTCATTTATGTCTATATGTCTGTCTAGACGGGCTCATCTATCTATCTATCTATCTATCTATCTATCTATCTATCTATCTATCTATCTATCTATGTACATCCACACAGACGGGAGTACATGAAAACAAAAATACGGATAAATATTGCACCAATGATAAGTGCATAACAAAAAAGAAAAAATCGATAAATATGAGCAGAAATTTGAAGAGTGGGTGGACAGCTCCGTCAAGGAAACTCTGGAGTCGGGATGATGGAAGTTACATCAATCAGCTAAGTGACATACTCTTACTCATGCTAATCCCCACAGCAATACACACGCTTACTCACTCACTCCCTAAGAACCAAATAGCACACACACAAACACTAAACAGAGACACATCCCCTCTCCAGGACCAATCAAACTGTCAAAATGACCACGGGAATTCAGAGAAGCATAGATCCATCCAGCTCTTATCTCAAATAACAACTTAAAAGAGACTGTTTGACCAACACAAGGAATGTTAAAAGATTCATGTTAAAAAGATAAAAAAATAAAAAAAAAACATGAAAATTACAGACAAAAGTTCATTTTCTCCATCAAGACATTCATTTCTGTAGTTCACTGCTACCAGCAAGCAGAAATATTTCTTCTCCCGATGATGGCCATTTTGGCCGAAACTAGTCGAGGAATCTAAATGAAATAATAATTTAAAAAAAAACGAAAGAATATTAAATATACAACCCAGTGTGTCTGAAGATTTTAATTTTGTAATAGTTTTTATTGTTCCAAATATATATATATATATGTGTGTGTGTGTGTGTGTGTGTGTGTGTGTGTGTGTGTGTGTGTGTGTGTGTGTGTTTCTTAAAGACGACAAGGTGCTGCAATTATTCTTTAATTTTTCTTGTATTTGAACAAGTGCTTTATTTTCTGGACACAGATTCTCTAGAAACTGTAAAAATGTTCTCTCATTCCGAGCGCTTTCGGCTATACTTTTAGCCATGATCAAGGATGATTTTATTTTTGCTTTTTAACCGGGTGTATGGGTATGGGTTGCGTGTGTGCTTCTAGAGTTATAGGGGTGATTGTTTGAGGTGCTGTGTTCGGAAAATAAAACACTCTTATGACTCTAGAAACAGACGCGCAACCCATTCACCTAATTTAAAATTTAGTGTGTGTTTAGAAAAGAAAGCACTTGTTCGAAGAGAAGAAGAATTAAATAAAATGTATAATTGCAGTGCCTTGTCTGTCGTCTTTAATGAAATATGTATAAAAGAAGGACTGCTGTCTATATGCACTATATATATATATATATATATATATATATATATATATATATATATATATATATATATATACTATATATATATATATATATATATATATATATAGTGCATAAGTGCATGTGTGTGTATGTATATGTGTGTGTGTCACTCTTCTCTTTGGAACGAAATTAGTGGTTAGACGAGAGATAACAATAGAATTTCAAATGCGATAGCATCAAAACATTTTTCATGTTGGTTGACGATGAAATGTAAAGTTTCTTTTTCTTTCTTTTTTTTTTTTGGTGTAAAAATGAAAAAAACTCAGTAGGTGCACTCAATCAATTCTTATTTCTATAAAGCAAATACCAAAATAGTCCAACTAATACATTCGACAAAACCATTTGTACACTGTTTTCTAATGACTGATTCTTGAGTTTAGTCGTGATCCAGAACATCACAGAAACTGTTCGATATATAATTATGTTTTCACCGCTGCAGAATTGGAAATAATTAGAATATTCTGCATAATTCTTTGGATACTTAAAAGTTAACCCTTTCGGTAAAATATTTTGCTATTTAACACATAGCTTGAAGGGGAAGAGATGGGTTCATATATTTCCCAGTCTTGTGTGATAGTGAATGCAAAAAGCTCGGTTGAAATTCGGACTCGGCTCACTGAATTCTCCTTCCAAGCAGCTGACCGTTACATTGCACACACATCCGAGATGCCAACATACTTTCGGCTCATTCTAACAAATCTATTAACTTAAGTGTAGCTGCGTCAAATAGGTTTATACAGATGAAAAACTCCTGTGAAGCGTATTGGGTGGCAACAGCATTAAATCCCAAATATTCTTCATGACACTTTAGCTTCGACGTTGTAACAAAGAAAGGATACTTAAACTCATAAAAACAAAACTTCAATTGGTGAGAAACTTTAAATGTTGGGGGGAAAAAAAGAAGGGATTTGAAAAGAAGGTAAAACAGCGGAAAAAGGGTGGAGTTAACACGGCGAATTGCATCTGCCCGGAAGTCAAGTTCTTCCTCTACCGGAAATACTATGTAGTAATATATTATAATGGTCGTTTAGTTACTCTGATATCTGTACATATGGACTAGATGAGAACACCAGACAAAGAAACTCGAGCAAATTTATATGAAATACGATGCCAAGGATAATATTAATAATAGCAAAAAAAAAAAAAAAATGCAAAAGAAGAAAAGAAAATAATTTTTGCAGCCACCGTGTTTATATTTTTCCTTTCTCTAGTTTTTTTTTTTAATTCTTATAAGCATTGCTGTGACCATTTGGATGTTTTATCCAATACTAACATTACCTTGGCTCGCATATTCACATTTTTAACCACATTTCACCCCAAGCAAGGCAATAGAGCCACTAAGACAAAATTACTAGATCAAAGTTGGCTGAAAAGCAAGAAGCTGCAGCGGGTTATACCTAGCCAATTCAAGTAAAATGATGCGACCTTGTTGCTAATCTAGTAGTCCGCTTAAATTCATAAAGTCTAGGTGCTATAGGGGAAAGTTCATCCAAACAATGGCCAATGAAAATATTGATATAAAAAAACGTACAGGGAAAGTACATTACGGTAGTGTTTAAATTCAGTGAGATAAACAAAAAAAGAATGAGGCGATATCGTTTTCATGTGTTTAAGGCGTCACTTGAGTATCTTTTAATTTGTACTCCCTTACTTCTTTAAATAATGAAATATTTATGATTGTCATTTCAACATTCGGTTAAAGTTGTTAAACTCAAATATTTAACGATAAAATAGGATGATTCGATGGCTTATATATACACACACACACATATATATATATATATATATATATATATATATAGGCGTGGAAATCACAGGTAGGTTAATTACCCATTAAATATTATGATAGATCAGAAATTTCAAACGAGTACTACTAGTACACAATAATGAGGAGTGTGACTTTTTTTTCTGGTTGTTTCTTTATTCTGCTGCCCGTAATTTCGACCACACTAAAGAAACAGAAATATGAAAATTAACAAATGAAATATACGCTGATTTGAACATACAGCCCGGCGGTAAGCAGGTAAATGACATATCCACTATGCCAATATTCTACTTCTTAGACAGTACGGTAAAAGTCAACTTGCAAATAATAAGGTACCCAAAGCGCACGGGTGCTACAGTCATAGCAGCGTACGAGGAAAGTCAATCAGACGTTATGTAAACAGGTACTCTGACACAAGGCCTTTTTGACAAGGCTTTCTCTCACAGGCGCAAACTCTCTCACACACACACACACACATATGTGTGTGTGCGTGTGTGTATGTGTGCGCGTGTGTGTGTGTGTGTCTGTGCGCGCGTGTGCGTGTGTGTGCACACGCGTGGGCGTGTGTGTGCGCGCTCGCGCGTGTGTGTACCAGTTCTATGTCTTCAGTCGTCCCAAAAAGTATGGTTGGATTTGCACAAAGAAACTTTCACCACTATAATCAAATTATATGTGCAGGTAATCTGACCGTTCCGTTCGAGGAACTAAGATTTTGGACCATCGTCGAAAACTACAGGAAGGTCAGAGTATACATACATTCATACATAAATATATATATATATATATATATATATATATATATATATATATATATATATTTCTAAGATGATGTATTGTAACTATTTACACTATTTACATTGTTCAGACTGTTGTCTTCATCTTTATTTGTATATTCACGAAGTTTCTACCGTTGTACGCGCCGGCTTTCTCGAGGTGATATTATTTAGAAAGTAGAATTAGAACAATCTACTCCCGTTGACTAAAGAAAGGGTGCATTTCTAACTAATATCACCTGAAGAAGGTCGAGGCATACAGAGCTCGAAACGTCGTGAATATATATATATATATATATATATATATATATATATATATATATATATATATATATATATATTCTTTAGTTATCATCATCGTTTGGTAGGGGACTTTGGTCTTTGGTGGAGTTCTTATTCTAAAGCGAGCGATTGAGGGTGGAACAGTGAATAAGGCTTCTTTTTTTTCACTTAAACAAGGAATCCATTTCATCTGACCATCTCCGTCCGCCCAATAAAACCGAAACAAAATCTGACTCCAGCTGCTTCCGTTTTCTATATTGTGGCCCGTTTGTCGTTTTTTACATAAGTCAGTCACGTCTTTATGTATACAAAATTCTCGCTACACGATTACATCGTCATCTCTTATTCGGTGACGCATTTTATTGACGTCTTTCTCCGAGGTTTTTCAAAGAAGCCAAACAGCCCAAGCTGCAAACTACGAATGGGGAATACCGAACTCAAGTAAGTACAAACGTTAAATATCTGGCAAGTGATTTGACAGATAACAGAAAATGTGACACCAAAATCCGAAGATGCACAGCAACAGCTTCAGTTTCATTCCAAAAACTAAGCAAAGTATGAAGAAACACGAAAATTTCGTTAGAAACAAAGAAAAGAGTGTAATATAGGTCCTGCTATTTAACAGTATGCAACAGAGATGGTGATCTACTGAAGAATGCAGAGAATACCATGGACTGAGTATGCGAGTAACGAGGATGCTATAAGACACTTGTAAACAAATAGGACAATGACAGTTAAAATCAGAAAGAAATATTTGGACGTTGCTAGGCCATATAATGAGGAAAAATAACTTGGAGAAACTGATATTCACATGACATATAATACAATGTAATCGATCTTCATTTGGCATCTCGACTTCAGTCACTTTCTCACCGACGTGACGTGTCGTCCCTCTGTCTTTTCTACAAATATTTTCATGGCTACTACTCTGACGAACTTTTTTCCCTGGTGAACGGACTATGTGTGTTTA